TCTTTGCAATTGAGTAAAGGGATATATCTACGTGCAATCTAAACTTTCTGGTAAGTACTTTAAAACCCTGGACCAAGAACGGAATTGGCCATATAAAAGAAAAAAGAATCAAATGTAAAAATGGGTATAAAAAACAAGATCAAGTAGAAGAAAAGGTCCAAAGGTATAAACTAACTGCTCTCTGTAAGATGCATCAGAGTTAATTCCAACATATAGCAGTTTGTCAAATCTACCAGGCCTTAGATGGGTTTGATCAACAAGATCTGGTCTGTTGCTTGCACCTATAATAAATAGGTCCTGGAATCGAGAAAGAGGATCAGTTGAATTGCTATTTGGACAGAAAGCAAAGGAATATAGTAGTTTCACAAAAAGCAGCATAAACAACCTGTGTGAGCAACTAGCAACAGGCGACAATTGTCATGATTAGTAACAATTGGAACTGAAGATAGCTGATCAAATCAATGTTATAGCAAGAGGGTCCTCAGTCTTCACCAAGAAACCACTCTGTCCATAACACCCCCAAAATTCCTAGAAGCACCTCGAGCAAGAGCAAGAGAATCAAGTTCATCGAAGAAGATGACACGTGGCCGTGCTAATCTTGCCTGCAAGAGTTGCAATATCACAACAACATAGTAAGGGCATAAAATGTACTGAAAGCCTGTATGCAATCCAATTTACCAAGGAATTATATACTGAAGACAAGTTTATTTTTGTTTACCTTATGGAAAATGTCTCGAACATTCTTCTGTGACTCTCCTATGTACATGTTAATTAGTTCAGGAGAGGCCAAATTTCGAAAAACATCAAAACGGTGTGGTAGAAGCATTGTTGGTAAGTATCTGCCACCAAATAGATAAAAAGGAAAGTGAGCCCATAGAAAGGCTAAGGAACAACCCTTTCAAGTGCTGTCATTTTACCTGATATCAGTCATCATATAAGCATCACGACTGAAAGAAGTGAAATTACGTTGTTACCTTGATTGAATTGTCAGAGAAGCTATCATATCATGAAATATTTTCATCCTTATTACATACATATATATGAATTATTACACATTGTAATGTAGGACATCTATCAAAAGGAGCAGCAACTGACATTTTTAAAATTTTTGAAAAGATATGCATGCCATTTTCCAACTACAGGCAGCAGAATAACTACGAAGCAAATGGTGAGGAAATACGTTAATAAAGTCAGAACAACTGTTGGCAATTGGGCATGTTTCCGACAAGTTAGCTGCTTCACCTTTGCGAACTGTTGAAAGCTTGAGTCAATGCAGCAGAAGTCTTCTTCACAGAAGATGCTGTCAGATTGTGGCAGCTATATTCAACTACATGGAGACCCGGCCGCCTAGCAACGTATCTAACAACAGTCCTCTTTCGACGCCCTGCAATAAATACTTGATCAGAACACAGCTACTCCATACATTTACAAGCATATGTATACTAAAAGTAATACTTCGCCCTGCAATCAATCTGTATTATAATTAATTGCTGTCACTAGGAACCGCAACATTAAAATTAGTAACAAGTTTGGCAAGCATAATTTTTTTAGTGCAGGGAGAAGCACCACAAAGTTGTGTCATAAATCAAAGATTTCATTTCCCGTTAATTAATATTTATGAACTAAGGATGTAGTCAGTTTACTAGAAGCCAGCAAGGGATCAACATAGCATCCAGCACACCTGGCAGACCGTGTAGTAGAACAGAAACTCTAAATTTCAAAGAAAGTGGTGATGGGCATAGAGGTGGTGCAAGAATGGAGGCTAAAATCTTCACCGTGTACAATTGCAAAGGTGCCAAACCTTTTGTTCCAGCAATCAACAAATCTGGGGAAAAGCAGATGGTGCACTCCCTCCAAGAACTAGAGCATTCTGTGCACAATTGACTTGAAGAACAGCTTCATCTGATGGTTCCATAGCAACAACCTGAAAACAAGAATTACCATCTGAAGACAGCCTGGCACATTGTAACGTTCACTGTACATATCATGCCATGGGTAATATATGAACAAAATATTACCTCGAAATGGATGATATTATCACTCCAATTTTGCAATCTCGAGTTACAAGGAATGCAAATGACTGAATTGAAATTCCATACGAAAACACTGAAAACATCTCTCCTTGCTAAATATCTATCCACTTCAAAAAAATTGTGTATTGTTGAATCAGTAATTTCTTAGCGATCTTCAGCCTCAACAGAAGAAATTCCTCTCAAAGATTCCAGGGAACTGCATTCTGGTATCTTAACAAAGGAAACCATTAAGTGCGATGCATATTTTGGCAGTCAGTCCAAAGGTTCCAATGATAAACTGATAAAAGAAGATTCAGTGTCTCAGTGTCTCCCCTGCAAGCCTTATCATCCACATTACCTTCAAAGAGAGATGCTAAAGTCTCTTTACCTTCATGGACAGGAGATCTCAAGCACGATGTGTGTAGGTTAATGTTAAAAGCTAACAGAGGAGATACATAGGCAACATCATGGTCCAACAATACAGAGTCATTTGGAGGAAAGCTGCATGACGGAAACACAAGAATTATATGGGGAGGATAGGAAACGGGTTCTTTGCTTAGAGACACGTGGTAATGGGTATTTGGTGGATCTAAAACAAGAACCCGAGCAATTCTTTGTATCTTTGTCTCCACGTTTCTAGCAAGCACCTTAAATTTTTAAGAAACTAAAAAGGAAACTAAAAAAAAAAAAAAAGAACTGAGGTCAGTCATAACATTATTAGGCAATTAATTTTCTTTTTGCAATAATTATTATTACCGTCGTTATTAACAATTATTAATTCCATTTTCTCTTAATCAAGAGAACTCTCAAAACGCAAATTGAAAATTCACTTTTTGCACCTTAATGATCAGGAAAAAGAGCCCCAAATTCATTTCTTTTTCGTTACAGCTTTCTCCTAGCAACCAAACAGAGCTTAAACAAACAAAAAAGAAAATTTTCACAATAGCCACAGAAGTAATAGTAGTAAGCCTATGCTACATGGTCAGATACTTAAATTAAGCTAAAAGTTCCGTTATTTTCTTTTCCACGCATTTCTTTTTAGCAACCAAACAGAAACTTAAACTCACCAGCGAGCCAGAAGTTATTGATAGTCTCTTCAATGCAGAAGTAGACAGTCCCACCAACACAGAATCGTCCACAGAAGTTAACTTGGGATCTGAAATCTCATTTTTGTCCTTCCAAAGTTAACTTGGGATCTGAAATCTCATTTTTGTCCTTCGAAAACTTTGGAATCCCCACCCACGCAAATCGACAGCGGAAAGATTAGTTGTACGGGCTTCACCGAGTCGTGCAGAACTCAGAACTGAATTGACGAGGATTTTGGTGGAAGAAAGCACAAGCAGCTTCCTTCTCCCCACCATCCTAAAACCGCCGCTAAAATCCCTAATTCAATTCAATTATAGAAATCAGTAGTTATAAATGGGGAGAAATGGGGAAGTTAAGGGAGACATGACACACGTTTGTATGGTTCCAGAGTTGCAGGTGGATTAGACTCACGCAAATCGATGAAAGCCTCCTTTTCTTACTTCCGATTGGTAACGTTCACGCCGTTTATATAGCCGTTTCAGTGTCAGCCATTTTGTTGAGCTGGGCTGTAACTAAAAGCTTGGCACATAATCTATTAGAATGAAATTTTGATGGGCTTAGTATTGGGCCTGTGATCCAATGCGGTGAGAAGAGTTGGTCTTATTTAGGCTTTTTCAAAGGGAAAATGCCATTCAATTTCCCTCTGACTGTCGATAATCGTCCGGTTTATTGTTAGCGTTTGATTATTTAGTAATAGTAATCGAGATATGATTCATTTGATCAGGATTATTTAATAATCGCACGACTCAAGATGTTGCTCAATATACCCAAAAATGGCTTAAATCGCACTTGTTAATTATTATAACAGTGTAATAATTAGACCTTAAAATTTTATATCTAATATCTTGATTTTCAATATTAATACAAGTAAGATTAAAATTTAATGAAATAAAAGAAAGTTACCTCTCATCATATAGCTCAATAACATATATTAAAGAATGTATATATTATTAATAATTGTATGATCTATTAATAAAATAAATAAAATTCAATACGTGATAATTATTTTTGTGATTTTATGTTTATTTGTACTCTTACATTACACTCTAATATTTAAGTTATGATTTTATTCTTTTTACGGCAAAAAGATTCTAGCATATTATAACTTTTGTGAAAAAAAAAAATGAAGTGAAGGTGAGCTTATCGAGATCTTTCGACACATGGAAACTTATATGTAGTATGTAGAATCAAGTTCACCTTTCCCTGACAATCGAAAAATTCTCATCGCTATGCACGGCAGATCAAACAGATATCTTACAATCAATTGTCAATAAAAATTAGATCCAAAGCATCCTGAAGAGTTCGAACACTCGAAAAGGTGAAGACAAGTTGGAACCTTTCTCTTTCCAATCCCATATCACTCGAGCATTAAACGCTAAAAAGCTTGATATATTAAGCTAATGTTTTGAAGGTTGCCGAGTCTGGTAACGCGGGCTCGTAACCCATTGTGGGGGCATTAAGGTGTTGCTGGAGAGTTGAACGCGTTCAGCTTATGGGCTATTCATCTGGGATCCAAACATGTGCCTACTCAGGGCAAGGACAACATAAATGTTGATGGGTCTCAGTTGCCCTAATCCCTGAGTTGGATAGGTGGTTTGGCTTAACAGAGCAGCGTCCCCTATTCTAGAACCCCGAGTAGGCCAACCAGCCGTGTGGTTATCCATGAAGCCCGTGCTCACTCGACCTTCACCTTTTTTTTGACAATGTAAGGAGGCTCGTGACCCATATGTGCGGGTGTGGAATAGCAATGGTGCATATAATTTCATAATTACAGATGATACAGATCAAACCTCTCTGATTGGTTATGTTTGAATTTATTGATAAGTTTTGCAACTTCATAAAATATGCGAAAAAAGCATATCTAACAAATGAGCTAACAAGTAGAGCACTAATGTATTTAAACCATGGTAACAATGAGATTAAGCATTTACAAGAGGATTTCACCGAAACTTTATTTTATTTCAGAGCTTTAGCCCATTACCTTTCTTTTATTAGAGAATTTTGACTATTAAGCTTTTGCCTCTGGCTGTTATTCCTACCATGAAAACAAGAAAGGATAGTTAAAAAGAATTTATAAATCTGATGTTCTCACTCCCCTAATTCAATAATCTATTATCCCACACCGAATAAAGAGACAGCCAGCCAGAGCTTTACATTTTCTCCCTCTTGAATGTTACATGGCAGGCTCGGTAACGTGAGCTTGTTACCCGAGTAGAGGCATTGAGGTGGCCTTGAGAAGTGAAAAAGAATGAATAACCAGTGGCCGTGTCGAAGCGATAAAGTGGGCCTTTACCTGTCTCGCCATCGAGGGGAATAACAGTGGTAAGCCTACCGGAATTAAAAGCGGTGAGCGCTAACAAAACAGCGGAAGAGAGGCATCATGCCTACTGGATTTAAAAGCGATGTGCTTGCTGGCTTATCGGAGCAGCAGATGACCTGTCCGTCACAGGCCCATTCTTATCTCCACCTCCACCTTTTTCATTTTTTTGCTGATCCAATGCAAGAATAACGATGCCGAAAAAAGGGTTCTCTAAGGAAGTTAAAACACTTTTGATAAGTTATTTATAGAGTAAGTAGTTCACCATTCCTTTGTTACAAAGCTGTTAAATCTGCATCGTAAATGCTTATCTTCTGAACCGACGTCTTCCGCATTCCTACAGCTTGATGAAGCCACCAATCCATGGCCACCGAATACACAAGTAAAAGCAACAATTTTGCAGGTTTGCACTTAGCACATAACTTTTGTCCTTGCACAATTCAAAACCCACCATTTTCATTCTATAAACAAGAGTTTAAGGACATCCGTTTCATTTTGTTTACAGCACAAATTCTTGACAACAGCAATAGCCAATGCATGACAGGTAAACATTTCAGAAGTATGGGATAAAAGTTTTATCATTTTTTAAAGTGAAAGCACATTTCACATCAAAATCTTCTTCCCCAACAATCATGTTTTGATCTTAGATTTTGCAGTGAAAATGAAGCTAAACTGTGGTTTGAACTATGGTGCCCTTTGAGACTTTACCATCAATTAAATTGCAGGAAATTAATATACTTAGAAGATAATATTGCAACGTTTGACATATACGAGGAAGTGCTTAAATTATATATATTTTAAATTATATATATAATAATATTAATTAAAGATATTTTATGTTTTATTTTAGTTTTATTATAAATAACAACATCGTTATGTTTTTTAGTTTAAAAATATAATTTTTATTAAAATTTTAAAATTCGAAAGTAAAATTTGAACGTCAAAGATGTCTCTTATTTTAAAAAAGCAAAATTTATTAAAATTTTAAAATTTTAAAAATAAAATTTTATTATCTATTGCATTTTTATTTTAAAAATATGATGTTTATTAAAATTTCATAATTTGAAAAATACAATTTATCTTTCAAATCTCAATGCAATTAATATTTAAAATAATTTAATTTGAAATAATTTAACATTATTGTAATTTTGATTTCAAATAATTTAATATTATTTTAAAAATAGACATATGTTAACAATTATTATATTTTTATTAAATAAATTCAAATAATTATACAAACTAAATACAAATTTAATCCTAATAAATAAAAACTCAATAAAAATACAAACTGAATTAATTTTATAATTTCTAAAAAAATAAAATTCAAATATAATCATTGTTAGGTGTCAAAAGATGAAATTCAAATGCTCTATGTGTGCCAAGTTGGATCTCGATTTATCATATAATTGTTTTTATATTGAAGGGTAAAATAAATTGTAAAAACCATTTATTTAAGATAAAAATGAGATAAATTTTACATTTTATCAAAAATCTTAAAAAATTTAAAGAAAAAGAGAGTTTATGATTCAGAATTACTTTTTCTTTTCTTTATATTGTCGAAAATCTTTAAAAAAATCATATTATGAGAACTGTCGAAAATCTTAAAAAAAATTATCATATTATGAGATCGGAATCAAGTTATGAAAAATAAAATTTTTGGCAGAAATTTAAATTTCCCCAAACCAATCGCACACTTAGAGGGAATGCAACAGGTAGACACGGGAAGAGGCATACTGCAAGGCTCAAGCTTCATCAAATCCTAAATCAAGAGATCTTAATAGGAAATGCCATTTTCAACTTACTGGTCGCTGAAGAATCTAACAAAAATTCAAAGGCTTATGTTTCTACAACAACTTCCATTGAAAAATCAGGTTTAACATTTCTGTTATTTTCAGATCCAGATGAACCAATTGACAGACCTAAGACCCAGATTATAACGTTAAAAGAAAAAGCAAAGACCCAGAAAATCACAGTTCAAAGATAAACCAAAGCATAAAAATCACTTCACAAAATCTCCCAGAAACACCAAAACATGAACATCAACACCCTAAACCAAAACATCTAAGACAGATCCAAGCTTAAAAATCAACAGATCCAAGCTTAAATAGAGCTCAAACATATTTCGATTGAATTTTCATAACTCAACAGATCCACACCAGATAGATGCAAAACAGAAAAAAAAATGAAGATGCTTACAGATGGGGGGGAGAAGGAGCTCAAAGGGATTGAAGGCGTCAGCAACAGGAGGAGCTGGGCAGATTTGTCAGAGAGTAAGAAGATGAGAGGGAGACGGCAAATTTGTCGAATGAAAAGTTGTAACATTACATACAAGTGGTAAAGTTATTTTGCATAGGTTTTTGGATGCAATGAGATGGTAGGATCAGGAGCAATTAAATTGTAGAAAATTTGGACTACTTCCATAACTCCAAACGCAACCTATATCTTTAACTAGACATTATACTATATTCAAATTATAAATTTCTTCTTTCCACAGCAAAAATGGAGGGAAGGGAAGGGAAGCTTATGGAGACCTTTCAACACATGGAAACTTATATGTAGTTTGTAGAATCAAGTTCATGGGTGAACTTTTCCAGGCAACCTACAATCAATTCTCAGTAAGTTTTAGTCAACAGAACAATTGCAAATAACAAAAACTACTCCAGGTCCAGGCACCATATACATGAACTGAAAGTTCCATTGATACTTTGGTGCCCAAAACCACCAATGCTAAGTTAATTCAATGAGAGTGAATTGATATTTAACTCACAATTGATAACTAACGATGCAAATCATACTCCCTCAAATTTCACCTTGATACACACTCAACAATTCAGGTACCTTCTCCTGATATTTGATCACAAATCTCTCCAAGAAGCGCTTCTCAACAGGCAGCAACACAGTGGTTAAGCTTAAATCTTCTTTTATCAATCCCTTTGACAACAAAATCTGAAAAACTGAACACCTAGGGATTATTCTCTTCTCCAAGCTGAAAAACAAGATAACAGGAAATTGAGCAATTGCTCGTGATGGACACCCCATCTTATTAACAAAATAATCCATAGTCATCATAATTTTCTTCTCCGACAACATCATAGAATGAGGGTGCTTCCTAAATGCTGTAAGAATATCGTCCTTAGACCAACCCCATCTCTTGTAAACCTCAAAACACTTTTCCCATAATGACTTATTACCCTTCCCTGAAAGGGCATGCACTGCTAACACAAACGTGCATTTCCTAGGCTCAAACCCCATTTCTTTAACCTCTCCCACAATTCTACAGAAATCTTCATGCTTTTGCGTCACAGCCTCAGGGAAATGAGTCAACAACAGGGAAACAAATTTTTGGGGGACACCTAATTTTCTCAAAAAAGCAATATTGGGCATAAGATTCTTTGAACGATCTTCTAGGAAGATCCATGTAGTACGCTTTAAAGCAGAAACAATTTTCTCATTGGATAGCAAAACACTCTTCAGATATTTGTAAGTAGGTACAATTTGGTTCTCCAAGCTTCTAGTCAAGAGCGTTGGGTCTGAAGAAAGAGTCCTTGCAAGATCAGATCTTGACAACCCCATAGACAGAAAAAATTCAAGCTTTGGCAAAAGAATATTCTCAGGATTTGCTACAAGAAGCACGGGGCGCTTCCTGATGAGATTTGAGATCTGGGTTCTAGAGAACCCATAGTTTCTCAAAAGCGCCAAAACCAAGTCAGGTTTCTCAGGAGACTGAAAGTGTACCTTTTCCGAAGCTGAGATGGCAGACTCTGAGGACAACCCACATGAGTTTATAAGATAAGTGACAGTGAAAGTGTGTTGCTTGGCGGTGGTTTTCCAGGTGATAGGTTTAACAGAAGTCTCATTTTGGAGAGACACGAGTTTAGGCTTTAAATCGGCTAGGTTGCTTTTGAGTTGGACCGGCTTTCCCGAAAGGAATTGTACAGAAGAGATCGATAGATAGTCCAGTCTCAGGGTCTGAAAATTTTGGTTTAATGCCATTGTAGATTTTGAGTGGATGATGAATATTGATTATGATGACGATAACGCTCAGTTTCTTTGGATATTTCAGGTTGTGACTGAAAACGGCCTCCCACTTCGCAGTGGGCTTTAACTTTTGGATCATGAATGAATATTGTCTAATTTTTTGTGTTTATCAATATTTAATTTTTATAATCAATATTTACTGACTTCTTTTTTTTTTTTTTAATTTTGTAAAAGGCATTTATTTATAAATTACCCAAATTGTATAATTTCATGTATAAACCCAAATTATTCAATTTACTAAATATTTGCTTACGAAAATTTAATATGCAGATGATTTTGTAATTTGTGTAGAAAGTTCTTTCACAAAATGTAAAAAAGAAAAAAGAACAGAAAAATATGAGAGCAGAAAACAGAAAGCAATATTACCATACCTGTTACATTTATTTATTCACTCTATATGGTATATTTATTACAAGTGAACATTTGCCTCTGTTTCTTGCAAAATTTGATCATACTGTTATGTAAATAAACCTCTAGGCTCTAATAAAACTTTCAGAGCAGTTTCTGACCGACTCATACAGCCGAGGGAGTGTTCTTTGAGAGCAGATCTTCTAGGGATTTAGGGCTGCTTATAGGAGGGCTGCATGTGAAATTTTGGCATACAAGAGCAATCACCTTGTCAGCTGCAAAATTGTTTCTTGCCACGAGGGCAACCTTGCCATTATTTGCTTCCCAAAATTCCATATCTGCTGTGTTGGTTGGATCTATATGAATTACCTGTCACATATCGAATGAGAACAAGGTCAAATTAAGTGTAATTTACTAGACGATGGCGATAACTTATTTGAGTCTTATATTTACTGTTTTGTTGGGATCATATGAGGTATGAGCAGCAGCAAGCATGTTTTCAAACTCTACCGAAGGCTTATGGCCAACCAAGACAACTTGCTTCCTGGAAGGAATGGAAAGCAAATCGGCTGCACAACACATCAGTGGCACTGCCATTGCCATTTCCTTCAATCTGGTCTCAAAAACAGCCTGCAAAACATAGACACAGTTCCAAAACCAAGCCACAATTTACGTAAGCAAGTTTGATTCAAGGAAAATCAATCTCAATGAACTGAGGACAAACCAGAAGATGCTCTGCAATCTGACTGTAATGATCAGATTTACTGCCAGAAACCATGGAGGCCAATCTCGCAAGATTGATTGCAGAGACTGAGTTTCCTGATGGTTCTGCTCCATCATGATCTTCCTTTACTCGGAGAAGAACTGAAGGGTCTTCTCCTGGAGTGTTGAAATAGGCTCCACCTTCTCTATCAAGGAATAACTCATCCTGGACCACAATATTGTAATGTAAGCTAGAAGAATTAACAGGGAAGGAGATAAGAAAACAATGTTAGTGGAAATAAGACCATCTACAGCTCTCGCCTGCATATCCTGGAGTTCAGTCGCCCAAACCAGCCAATCAATACTACCACCACACTCATAAAGATCCAGCAATCCTGAAATTAAGAAAGCATAATCATCTAAAAACCCGGGTGCTTTGGATGGGCCATTCCTAAAACTATGCTGAAGCCTGTGTGTTTGCTCATTGTACAGATGTCTTCTAATAAAACTTGCTGCCTTCTCTGCAACTTCCATGTACTCCTTAGGCTGGAATTATCAAATAAGCAAAATTATTATTCAAATAAGAATTACCCAGCAAGAAAAAGACAATTATGTATGAATGAATAACAGGTCAATACGGCTCCTGCTGTAAACGTGATAGTTACTCAAAGAGTGTGAAAATCACTTAAAACATAATTAGATTACTGGGATCTTCAAGTCTCAAAACTACCAATCAAGGAGCTGGACATAACTTTTTTGGCTGAGCATCAGTCAGAACCAGCCTCCAGCACTAGATGAATTCACTAAACACTAAGATAATAATATAAAATTTAATATTTGGTGACAACAGAGAAAATCGCTTAAGTTCATATTACCCTAGAGTACTAGCGCACCAACCACTTAGTACAGTTTTACTAGTAGGTTTGCTGCACAAGGTCTTATATGCATTTATACCACAACCAAAGCCAACCACATTTATTATCTCACTGCTATAGATTTGCTTTAATAAATGACGTGCTGACTTCTCATATTGCTTAAAAGCTAATGTAGACATCATGTCATTAGATTCTGGAGCAGGTTGTGATTTGTGAGAAGCTATAAATTTCACAGGAGTATCCAAAACAAAATGCATCTGAGCTGGGACATGAACTGGACTAAACGAGCATGGTGCTAGATCAACCCTGTCTAATTAAAACAACTATGATAAATCAATTCACTTCCCGGAGTGAAGAAGGTAAAATCTTACATCACAGCCAACAACAGGAAAGTTGAAATCCGTGCCCTGTCGTTCACCCTTGAGGATTTTAGATGCTCTTGCAAAAGATGAAATTGCAAGTCCATTCCACGATACAATAACCTAGCAAGCACCTGATATTAGTGTGCATGACCAGCAAGATAAAAAGGAATAGAGGAATCACTTGACGTTAGTTCTATCAAATGAGTACCTTATCATCCAAATGTGGCCTAGGTCGCTTTGACCTTACATCAAAAAGCTTCTTTTTGCATTCACCTAGAACATCAAAATACTCTTGGAATGGCATGCCAAGTTTTGATGCCAGTGCTGAAGAATCATTTCCTTCAATGACCACATTCTTCCCCTTGAATTCGTTATGTGGGTCACTCATTCTAGAAAGATCACAATTTCCTGAGGGCTTTACATAGTAGTGCTCCTTAAAAAGATTTGTGTGCTCTCCAAGAATGCCATCAATCTTAAACAAGAAAGATTGAGCATTCTGTTAAGAAATTTAGTAAAAGGAGGATCATTTGACATTGTTTAACAACAAGAATGTTCATCTTTCACTCAATAATGAAGTTTGAAAGCAGTGGTAAATGAATTTAGCCATGTAAAGAACAATTCTCATCATATTGTTACAAGCATCATGCTAAATAAATCTTTTTTCTTTTTCCCACTATTTTGCGAAGCACAAGAACCCTAATGTAATGAAAATTCTCATCATATTGAGACATGCATCATGCTGAATAATATCTTCCTTTCTCCCACTTTAAGGACAAGAATCCTAATCTAATGAAATATGCACATGCTCAGTCAAAAATGACAGAAAAGAACCTCTTTGCTTGTCCATATGTAGAAGGCTCCCTCCTTTTTCCTGGTTGCACCTTCAAATTCAGCACTATCAGCATCCTCTGCCGAAAAGATTCCACCTTCTGACCCAATCATATCTCTTCTCAAATAATCAAGGATATCACGGGCGATAAAGGAATAGAAAACATCCCTAGTGATGGAAAAAACATCCAAGTAAACATTGGCAAGTTGCCCTTGGTCATACAGCATTTTCTCAAAATGAGGAACTGCAAGAAAAGATAACAGTTATAATGATGTCCATCACAACAATAGACAAAATGAAAATTTTTACGACAAAAATTAAGTTGCCAGAAAAAGGAAGAACAAAAAAAAAATGTTGTGGGAATGATGAATACTATAATATGAATTAGTGGTAAATATGTAGCAATCATATTGATTAGAAAAGATGGTATTCTAAGCAAATATCTTCTTCTCAACTTGTTAGAAATTACAAAAAGAAAAGACAAAGACAATAAATAAAGAAACTGACCATGCCAGCATTCATCCACACTATATCTATGAAAACCGCCTCCAATGTGGTCATGAATACCTCCTCTTGCCATGCATTGCAGGCTAAAGAGAACCATTTTCAGACTTTCTTTTGCTCCCCCTGGTTTTCCGATTTCCCCTAATTTTTTGGAATAATAGAGCATCAATTGAATCTCAACTGGTCTAGGAAACTTAGGAGCAGATCCAAACCCTCCAAACCTTGAATCATAACTTTTAGACAGCTGAAAAGAAACAGAAAGGAGAAACATTCATCTATTTTGCACAGGCACATTAATGATGTTCAGAAAAGAACAACAGTTTCATCCACATCAAGTTACAAGATTAAATTCCCTTGCAAAGAAGAATAAAACTGAGAAAACACAATTGAAGCAGATCAATAAAACTCAAGAATTAAGTTGTACCCAGGCTATATTACTTTCCATTGAGCTATGGGCTTCATGAATAGGCAATGCCAGTTCTTAAAAGATAAAACCATACCTGCTCTGCACACAACTGTAATGCATTTTCTGGAAGCCCATCTGGCAATTGATTTGAAGCTGCACTAGCTGACAATGCTTCTGACAACTGTTCAATAGCAAAGGCTCCACTTTTAACAAGCATGTCCTTTTTATTATTCCAAGCATCCTTCACCTTTCTGAAACAGAAGAAGGAAAGGGGTTGAGACGGGGATGAATAAAATGAGCAAAGTAGAAAAATAACACGCATTATTTAAACAATATGAAATTGAGAGGAGAAGGTTTAAGCTCAAATTTTAGCACTACAATCCAGAAGGTCACCAACCAGTGTTTACAACCCAACCAAAAAGGAATATAAAAGAAAGTATGGAAAAAGAAAAATTAGTGTTTCAGAAAGAAAATATTGCTAACCTAAGAATGGTCTTGAATCCGGGCCTTCCATACTTATCCTCAGGAGGAAAGTAAGTTCCTCCCATTAAGGGTTTTAAATCAGGTGAAAGGAAGACAGACAACGGCCAACCTCCACCACCATACAAAGCCTGCACATATGTCATGTACACCTAGAAAAATGAAATTATTCTGTCAGCACGATATATTTACAACACAGGATAATAATTTAGAAGAATGATGCTTCATTTTTTGTAAAAAAATAACCCTTTTTTCTGCTGAATTTCCTGTTCTGATGGAAACAAACTAGATAGATCAATGTTCAACATTCAAATTATTAATAATCCTCTAGTCTCAACAAATGTTCATGCTCAACATTTAGCTATTGAGTAAATGCCAAGCATACACTATCATATCTAACATCTTTTAACTCTATTACACGCATAAGCATATAAGTGCCTCTCTAGTACATTGCATCTTCTTGTTCTTACGATGGCTTTAATTGTGTCAGAGCTATGTAGTCACTCTGCTGTGCTTAAAAGATAATGATATAATCACATTCAAACAGACCAACTGCAGAAAAGAGCTATACAATTTCTGTTGATCTCATTTACCTTGTCAACATCTGGTCTTTCTTCTCGATCCACCTGTAGAACTGGCATGTTAGAAAAGTATGGCAGATCAAGTGCTTTAGAGACCCTTCTGGCCAGTTCATGAATTACCAAGCCAGAATTGGACATTCAAAAAGATGTAAAAAGTACCCAAAAAATCAATTAAGTTCATACTCACCTTAATACTCACAAAACAATCATTCAACAACTTTGCAACCTCTTCATTTTCAAAAGACTCCACCTCCATAACATGACACCTTCATAAATGATTTAACAAGAATCTGTCAGTCCTCGTTTAACCATTTACATTCAATGATAAAGTAGTCCAGATGTCAATTTGCAGAAAATGGGTAAAGTCTTTTACCAGTGGCAGGTACTGTATCCAACTTCAAAGAGAAGACCACCATAGAATGAATGACCAAATGACCAAAATTAGTAACACATTGTTAAATGTTAACACCTATAAATTATCCAAACGACACTAAGCAAGAAAAGATTCTACTTGATAAGAATATTGGCACGTCTCTTTTTCTTGCTTCTGCAAAAGCTTCTTCGCTCCAAGGATACCAATCAACCTTCAAATTATGCAACCAATATAGGATTATAAATTACATAGGAAAGTTAAATATAGAACAAAGTCATAATTTATTGAAATTATATGTGTTTTTTTTTTCTCAATTTTATAAAATCAAACAAAAACTAAACTCCACTTAGCTGAAATATTAGAAATCTCAATAGTCCAAATTCCCAAAATAAAAAGGCTTGATAGAATTACCGGGTTATGAGCATGTTGAAGAAGATAAGGACTATGCTCCGCTGCGAGGCGATTAGTATACTTTTGGGAGTGTGAACTTGAAGTCGTGGTCCTTTCAGCCATGGTGAAGACCTTGCAAGCGTGAATGGGTCGAGGGAAAACGCCCGAGAAAGGCCAAGAGAGTGAAGGAAAGTGAGTAGAGGGATATAGGAATTTTCTGGGTAATGAAGAGAATTTGTTATGGCGAGAAAAGAAGAAAGAAGAAGAAGAGAGAAGCAGAGTTTTTGGCATAGGATTATGAAGAAAAAGAAGAAGAATTGGTATTATATAGTAGAGGCAGTTTAGGTTGCGGTGGGGGAATGAAAGAAGAAGAAGAGGAGCAAATATTTTGGAGCAAGTGACATGTGGAAAGAGATGAGAAATATATGACATGTGGCTGCAGCGGTTTCGGCTCTGACAGCTGTGCACGCCTCCAGCAAGTCTTCCAATGGATAAAACTTGTGCTAAATTCCTTGTTGTTTCATTTGTTCCAGTTTTTTCCAGCTTTCTGACAAGTTTTCGATTGTTTGTGAAGTGTGTAATGATGGTTGATTTTCTTAAAAAGACAATGCCCAAAAAAAGGCCCAAAGATAAGGCGTTTTTATCGTAAGGAGCAGATGGTTGGGCAGAGAGCTGCCCACCTGTCCTTGTGGCTTGAGTTTCAGGACTCCTCTTAAAATCTACAGGACTTGATTTTCTTTAAACTATTGGATCTACAGGCAATGAATGAATAGGATAATTACAATAAAAATTCATCCTAGAGTATATATTTTACAAAATGAAATCTATCAAAGATTAAACCATTTGTACACCATATCATTGCATTTTTCAAATGTAAAGTTGCCGTTGTATTTGAAGAATTTTCAGACACTCAAGGAAAGCATTGACATGACATGAAGTGTAAGTGACATGCTGTGTTCATTTGTTGATGAGTAATTTCTTTGACTTCTTCAAAGGTTACGCCATTTCTTGCCTGACATCCAAATGCTCCAATTGGGCAAGGCACAGAATGTTGCAGTTCAGCAAGTTCAGCAAGGCGTTGCAGTGACAGACTCAGCAAGCTCTTCCAGGAGTTCCTTCTGTTCCATAGCCGCACAAGCCTGCAATAGGCAAGAATTTGCGGTACAATTTGATTCATTCCTATACAGAACCTTGTTCTACTCTTTCTAACTACATATCCATACATGTCATTGCAAAATATTGGAGAGAGATAAATTTTACCTGAACTGCATCCTCAATATCACCTTCAAGAAAAGACGTAAGCACAAAGTTCATCTTTAACCGGTGGTCCGTAACCCTATTGTCCTGATAAAAGGTAGCATCATACTTGTCACGATTCCACAAGTGAATTGCAGTAAGCCATTAATATTTCTAATGAAGGTAACAAAACCAACCAGTAAATATATGTGCAAATATATATATATATATATATATATATATATATATGTTGGGAGTGAACACAACCTCAGTGCATATCTCATCTCTTTTACAGATTGTGCAGATTTAGCTTAAATATTCTTATATGGTTTTTATAAGCAGGTTAATATGTTATTTCAGGTGAACTAAAAACAACTTAACTAAAGCCCCAGACCTTATAATTGTAGGTTCGAATCTTTTCCGCACGAGCACCACTACCAACCTGCATATCAAAACATATATGATGTCTGTATATATATATATATATATATATATATATATCATAAGGCACTTCAATCCAATCCCTAATGTTTAATACTGAAAAAAATCACAGAAAAGGAAATTTGATTTAGAAGAATGCAATTACACAAAATCAGAATCAACATATTTTCTATGCATAGTCTATCACTCTATGAATATGAAACAACAAACAAGCAAAAGGGCGAAACAATGACCTGAAAAAGGATGTCTAACTCACATCAGTAAGCATGATATCCATATACATGGAAGACATTCTCTTAAGGAAAAAATTATTGCAATGTTTAGCTAATGGTAAGTGTTAGCTACCATGCATAACCTCAAAGTTAATAATGGTGATGATGACCCCACCAAAAGTTGAAATTGGTTGCCACCATTGGACACACCATAGACAGTTATTAATGTGCACTTAAAATTGGAGGCAATGGGGGTGAGGGTGGGGGTGTTGGGGTTGGAATGCGGTTGCTTGAAACTGAACATGAAAAAGCATTGTCATTAGCTCCCACGAAACTGCCAACTCATGTAGCAACCATCATCAAACCAACACATACCTGTGATTTCCGTTGATTCCTTATCAACTCTTGCTGCTCCCTTACTTTTATTTCATACCTGTAAGTATGACATGGATCATAAGGAATGGACCAAAAAGGAAGAGACAAACAAATTTTGAGAAAATATGAGGCCCAGGATGCTGATTACTTATCTCAGGTAATAATTTATAATTATTGAGTAAAACAAATAGCACTGTAAAAACAACAAAAACAAAGACCCAAAAGCAGTAGAAGATTAAACTGACACGCACAATTTTGCTCGTAGCAGCTGTAAAGCACGATTCTTGTTCTGAAGTTGGGTTCTCTCTTCAGTACAAAAGATGCGGATTCCCGTTGGTTTGTGGAAGAGATCAACCGCTGTCTCCACCTTGTTGACATTTTGACCTGCACAATAACTAAACATAAGAACTTCTCCAACCTGTGGGAAAAAGGGAGGCGTGACATGAAGAACTGCAGATTCACTTGATCATAATTGAATCCATATTCTGTGTATTTATACCTCCAGCACCACCAGATCTTGCAGTTGTGAGTTCAATGTCTTTTGGATCAATTTCCACCTCAACTTCATCAGCCTAACCAAAAATTCATTTTCAGCACAAGTGAGTTCAAATGAAAAAGAATTCATGATCAAATATATAGAATGCAGCAGCTAAAATGCATGTAACATTAAGTTAAACAAATAAAAGCTTGTAATAACCCCATTAATAAATAGACATCTATCCCTTGTCTCAGAACAACATTGAGATGAGATCTCTTAAGGCATATATGATTCAGGACTGAAATGTAATCTACCTCAGGCATGACAGCTACAGTTGCAGTAGAAGTGTGCACGCGGCCCTGAGATTCTGTTTGAGGAACACGTTGAACCCGGTGAACACCTGATTCATATTTCAACTTGCTGTAGACACGATTCCCTTTAACCTCTATCACACAGGTTTTAAATCCTCCTTTTTCAGCCTTAAAAATAGCAGACAATTTGACAGTCAAATTGAGAACAAGAGGATGGATATTTTTGCTGGTCTTCAAAAATTACAAGTGATGCTAGAAATACTTATACACAATTTTAACTAAAACTTTTTGGCAATAAGCACCAAAAGTCACATTAACTACTAGCTATGGTTGGACAGAATGAGTAGCTAATGGCATCCATACGATTTAGGCAAGGACTTAAAAAAAGGAACATTTAGTATTATTGCAATAAGATATACCTCGGAGTATGAAACTAGGGTAGATTTCCAAGAGTTCCGCTCACTGTACTTTTGATACATTCTGACCTGGGCATTGAGAAAAAGGATATTGAAGGTCCATTGAGATGTGTTTAAAAGCAAGGTTAGCCAATCTCTATCAACATATAGCAGAAAATTGGTCAAAAAAACAGAATCCAATATATCATGTAGCCTAGTTCCACAAAGTTGGGATGCTGAAAATAAGTAGAAACAGAAATTAAAAGGTTTCCTGTGTCAACGCCAGAACATTTTTCTACATATTTCAACTGTAAAATTTTCTTTCCACTGATATGCCATAAAGATAACACCTGCTTGTAGACTGCCTTACAACATTCAAAATAATGATAAGGCATGATTCCAAGCATAAATCTGAAAGCATAAAAGAAACATGTACCTACAAGATCACCGGCCCATAGTCCAGCCTCATCACCACCAGTACCTGCCCTCACTGGAAAAAAAAATGAAAAAAGGACAAGCATAGTTCATTGAAGTGGGAATATGAAGGAATTTTCTTTAGATAATGCATCAAAAACTATTATCCATGTCAAATTGGAAGTACAACTTGTATGCTGATAACTGCTTAAGTAGATAGAGCTATTCATCCAAGAAGAGTGAAAATCAAGCATATATCTGACATGAATTAATGCTCAAAATGCAGCACAAATGTGAAAGATTGCCACTAGAGCCTGAATGTTCTGCGACCTAGAAATTTGGTTATTTGATTATCTTCTCAACAAGATTAAGAAAGATGATAATAATTACCTTCAAGCATTATATTTCTCGCATCAAGAGGATCGGTTGGAAGCAGTAGCACCTGTCAACACAGAAGCAACTTAGTAGTTTCAGAGACCAAGTAAGAGGGAGCAAAAAGCAAAAAATAACATAAGCAGCAATAATAGGACATATTCAACCAAGAAAAAGTGAACACGTTGATTCGACTATAAGGCTCAATATTGGTTAATGCTCATCAATGAAAAATCTTATATAAAATATATGCAATCAGAAATGGTTCAATCATATCAACCTTGTCCAAATTGCTTAAACCCAAAATAGTTAATGACACTCTTTTATAACACAAAGAAAAGTAATCAAAAGTCAAAACTACAAATCATGCACTTAACTGAGCAGATGATAGACACAACTGTTCAATGGGAAAGGCGCTCTTAAATATTTAAGATAATTATAGAGATTCAACTTAAGGTATAGGGAAAGAACCTTAAGCTTCTCCTCAAGCTCTTTCAGTTGAGTGGATAAAGAGTTGATTTCAGATGCTATCATCTCAGCCATATCTTCATCAGTGCTCTCCTCTTCTGATAAAGCTGAAAAAACAATTGCAAAGAAGAAAAAGGATCATTCTTGTTGAAAAGCTTTTATCTTATAGTAAAAACTCTTTAGATAAGATGATTTTCAAAAGAAACCTTTGGTCTCTTCTAACTGCTTCTCACAATCCTTAAATCTCCTAAATGTTGAAACAACCTATCCCTCAAGAAAATGGAATAAAAAATTTATGTCAACGAAAACTCTATTCACCTATGAAAGAGATTAAGTTCAGTAGCCTGCATAAAAGGAAGAAAGATGAATTCGAGTACCTCATCAAGTTCTGCCACAGACTGTGCCAGTTTTTGGTATTCAGTGGGATTTGAAACAACATCTGGATCAGCAAGCCTAACCTACAGTATCATTGTTTCGAGAAACACAACCTTCTGTAAACAACGAAATTAAGAGACAATATAATGTCCTAGAGAACAACATTTTTGCCCCAGGTGGAGAAGACATGGAGAGTTAGTTTTACTCCTATGTCATTCGGAAACACAATCATCACCACAATTGTGCCTAGGGCTACAAATATCACAAACACTAGATGCCTAAAGAGGTAGCAACTGTTACACTATATGACAAAGTAAAAGACAGACCTTCTAGGTTAGTCCACAATGACTGAATAAATTTGCATTTATGAAAATATGCGAGTCTATATTGCATCGGTTTAATTTAGCCAATTTGGGTTTCCTCTGTTCTTTTTGGCAAATTATATGTTTCTTTAAAACTAGATTAGTTTGGTTCCCTAACTTTCTCAAATCATTTTATGTTCTCTGCTGAGCAAGCCAACAAAAACTATGCCCGATTTGGATTTTCAAAACTAGATAATCATCAGGTCGACCATAAAATCAACTAACAAACAACTGAAACACTCGTTTTTTAAATAATAAAACAATTAACGAGAAAAGAAAGAGAAAATAAAAACCCTACCGATAATTCCTTCCACGTCTTCTCCGCAGATTTCAGTTTCGTTATCAGATACGGCTCCTGCAAAAATCAACCAAAGAGAAAAGAAAGTAAAAAACAAATTCAATATTGCGAAATCTCAGATCTGCTCTTTTTTTTTTTTTTTTCAATTTACAACGACAAACGCACCGCCATGCAAACGATTCGCGGAGCTCTAAATGTAGGCCAAGGTCCGGCTACCATCAAAGCTTTCGACTGAGTAAAACGGGGTCGCACTGGGAATGGGTTGAAGCTAGTGAATATTCGAGCTGTGGAGCTCACTGCAACGCAGTTCATTGCTGCGGATGCAACTTAAATGTCTGAAGAGAGAAACTTGATGTTTGAATAATTATTTGTGGCGGATAAAATGTGCAGAGAACGAGAGATATCGTAGGAAAAGAAACGGTGGCTGAGCGGGGCTGACCCAAACTGATGATGTTGGATGCTTGCTTTCTGTTTGGCTATACGAGGACGTGTTTGGAAATCATAGGCACTTTACTCGCACAGCATATAGCTAATTCTTAATCCAGCTAGGATTATCCTCTTCGATGTGTTAGCATGGCTTATAAAATACAGTGCTTTAATTTTTTTTTTTATTATTTTATATCATCTCTCCAAACTTGAATTAGGAATTTTAAGGATCTGTTTGCGATTTTGTGTTTTATATTTCTGTTTTCAATTTATTTGAACCCTAAAGTAAAAATATATTTGATGAGTGTGTTTTTATTTTTAAAAATAAAAATTAAATACAAAATTTTAAAAATTATTGAAAACATAATGTCTTTAAAATTTGGGAAATGTTTTTTGTATTGTTTATCATTCGATTATAGTATCAATTTTAATATTTGAAATTAAAAAATTCAGAAAATTTGTTAATAAAAAATTCAAACTTATCATTTTAAAATTTAAAACTTATCATTTTTGATAAATTTCTCATACATAATTAAATATTATAAAAATTTAAATAAAAAAACATACTTTATGATTATAGGGTAACTAATTTTTTTTACCCTGCCATGCACGAAATTTTTTATTATTTTTTTTATAATTTAAAATTTTAGTTTATATTAATTTTTATATTATATATAAATAAATAAAAATATTCGTAGTCATTTATTATTTATAGTTTAAAATCACAAAAATCGATTATATATAAATTATTCTAAAAATTTAAAATAAACATTATGAGTAAAATTACATACAATTCTCAATAAAAAATCAATTTTTTATTCACAATTACATAAAAATATATATTATTTTAGCGCTAAAACTAAGATTTACATGTGAGATATATCATAAAAGATTATTTATTTCATGTTTAATTTTGAAACTTTATCACATCAAACTTTTGTAAATAAAATTTGATTGCTCTATTTTTTATAAAGAATAAAATATTGATTGTGAGAATAAATTATAAATATATATTTGGTAATTATTTAATTTAAAAAATTTTAAAATTTTAAAAATGTAAGTTATCAAAGTTTAATTTTAAATTAACATAAAAGAGATTAGTATAATTTTAAATTTAGATATGTGTGTAATTTTAAATTGAAATAAAATATATTTTTTATTTTAAATTATAGACAAATAAAGGAAAAAAATTTGATAAATAATAGTGGTTCAACCACAAACTTTATTTATTTAAATTTATGTGAATATTAATTTAAACGGTATATAATTTTTTATGATTTATAAGATTTAAGGATTTAACCTTTAAAAATTATTTAAATTTTTTATTTAATATATATAAATAAGAGTGATGTATGAGATATATTTTATCGTATTTAAATTATAATAAATCTTATATATTTTAAAAGATTTTGATAAATATAAATTTTGAAACTTTAAAATTTTTAAAAATTAAATAATAATTGAATAAATTTATTTAAAATTATTTTATGTATTAATAATATAGATTGTTCATTTAAACCTCCACTTAAATAAATTTTATTAAAATTTTATATATATTGTAATATAATATTATATATAAATTTTTTTATTTTTAAATTTTCCCTCGACAGCGAGATTGTCCCATAATTTATTTCATTAACGGAGGAAATAAATGGAGGTAATGTAGAAATGATTTGGAGGATCGTGAAACAGCAACAATATGTAAACATTGAACGTCTAGTCCACGTTAAGATGCTAAAATCCTTACCAATCTCAACAAAAAGCCACAAAGCTCAGCATCACTTCACCCCTTTTTACGTCACTTAAAATGTTTGATTGGACAACTGAAAATGCATACAACTCCTCTGACTCATCCCTCACGTAAAACTCAAAACCAAACATTGTCAAGTGAGCCAAATTTCAAAGCAACCTTTCTTTTATATCAATCAATCAATGACTAGTTAAATAAATGATCTCTCGCATTCAGCATCTAATTAAATTAATTTATATAATTATTTTTAAAAATAATATTTAATAAATTTAAAAATCAAATTTTGATACTTATCATTTTTTATATGTAAATTATGTACTCTATTTATACCACGACAAGTTTATTTAAAATCAATCTATAGTAAAAATGTTAATTGATTAAGATATTTAAAAAAAAAAAACCTGACTTTGGACCGAAGCCTAGAGCCTCCTCTCATGGATGCTCATGACTTACCCTCCATCAAGTCGGGAGAACCAGAGCCTCCCCAATAAATTGTAAAGTTCGTACATTTTGCAGTCGAAATGACAAATTTACTCCTTTTAAGTTCTGTTGAAAATATATTATATCTAATTTTTATGTGTAATTTTATAAAAAATTATTTAATATATTAACAGTAAAATTTTTTAATTTTATAAATAAAATTAAAACGATAATTTATATCTTTTATATATTTAAAAAAATTAATTTATAAAAAAATACATATGTTATCATTTAAATTTTATTTGTAGAATAAAAAAAATTTATTATTAATGTATAAAATAATTTTTTATTTTATAACTATTAATTGAAATAAAAATTTATATAAAAAATTATTATTTATAAATATAAATTTTATATAAAATTTTAAATTATAATTAATTATATTACTATAATTATAAATGATGCGTTTTTTACTTTTTTTCAAGTATTTAGAGGCTGCACAAAATCCAAGGGTTATACCGTAATTTCAGTTTCAACCAGTGTCGGTTACATGTTTTATGTCCCAACTCCAAACCCGGGTTTTAAACAATTCCGAGAAAATTTTATCAATTTTCCAGGTACGCTTTATTTGACAGGTACGGATTTCGGAAAAAGAAAATCAAACAAAAAAAGAAAAAGTTAAAGACAAAAAACAAAAGAAGAAAGAAAAATGAAATACAAGGCCCCCGAACCTAGACCGTACGTTGTTACAGAGAGAAAGACAGAGAGAGATTAGAGAGAGAAAAAAGCAAAAGCTTAATTACAGTGACTCAGTGAGTGAAAGACTCTCTTATCTTCTTCCTCCTCCTCCTTATTCTTAGCAAATTTCCACTCTCGATCGAGCTCTCTCCGATCATTCTAGAACATTCCAAATTTCTCTGTAGAACCTCCTATTTTATCTTCCTTTTTTTTAATTTTTCCGTAAGGTCGGTAAGGTACTACTGTACAGAACCTCATCCCTCAACGAAAAATATCCGTTTCGATGGAGTTTTACGGTCGCAACCCGGCATGGAATGGGTCGCAATCGAGTTACCAGCCCGAATGGAGGCCCGTCGGTCCCGAAACCGGCTTGGAAGGTAAATTCCGTTTACTTAAATATTTTTTTTTCCAGTTTTCCACTCGCATTGTAACGACGCCTCTTTGGTAAAGCTTATTTTATTGGGGGCTTTAGGGTTTTTAAAATTTGGGGAGTGAATTAGAGTTTTAATTAGTATTTCTTTGGTGTAATGCAGAATCAATGTGGCAATTGTCGTTGAAGGGTACCGAATTGTACCCGGAACGGCCCGGGTTACCTGACTGTGTTTACTACATGCGAACCGGGTTCTGTGGATACGGTAACAGGTGCCGTTACAATCACCCTCGCAACCGTGCCGCGGTAAATTTCTCTGTCATTTTCTTCAATAAGTGAGGGGTTTTCCTTTTGTTTATTGGATTTCGTTTGCAATTTTTGGTTCTGCATTTAACTGATATTGATTAATGTGGCAAAAATGAAGAATATTTATTGTTGTTGTCAAATTAGAATGTTAGAGGTGACAGTGGGGTCTAACTAAGTGCTGTTAATATTAAGAAAATACAAACTGCACTAGGAACTTGGAAATTGGAACTAATCATTGAAGATTTTACTGCTTCAATAATAGTCGCCTATAACTGAAGCAACCTTTCCCTGTTATAATCTATAAATAGACTGCAATAATGAAAGAAAACTCTCATATGGTAGTTGCTATTATTAGTCATTACCTTTCCCCGATAATTTCTTTCATATATATTTGTTTCTTATAACTCATAGGGGCTTTAGTGGACACAAATTTTTGAGTGCGACATTTCACTCCAAATAGAAACTGAATACTGCAGTTTAGAAGACTTGACATCTCTTTTCTGGATTTAAACGACTTGCAACTTAAGTCTGTGTATTTCTTCAGGATCTTCCCTAACAATGGTTATTTGATTGGCCCTTGTCTTACACTCTAATTTATACCAAACTGTCAGATGTCTGGGCTAGTTGATAGATGTTTATTTCATATATTTTATCCAAAAGGTTTTGTTTAATCTGTTGATAAGTGAAGCTAAGACAGTATACCATGGAATTTTGTTTCCTTTGGATGCACCTTAACTTAAAAAGTGAACCTCAGGTCTTCTTTATCTGTTGCACAAGCATGAGAATTCTGTGATTCGAATAAGTTATTTGCCCGCTTCATTCTTCTTACTAAAATGAATTGAGGATAGTAATTGATAGAATAGGACAATGGAAGAGAATTTGCGCAAGTCTTCTCATTAGTCTATGGTTTTAAACTGATTTAAGCTTTTTCTTGTACTTAGCTTTAAGCATTCTGTGAGAGTTCAGTGACTCATATTTATTTGGTTGTGATACCATTAGGTTGAGGCTGCTGTAAGAGCTACAGGGAAGTACCCTGAACGACGAGGTGAACCTGCATGTCAGGTAAAAGAATAAATTTGTTTATGGAAATATGCAAAATTGTTTTTAATGAATCAATTCTTTTGTGAATTAATGCTGCAAAGGCCTTTTCTATCTTTTTCTAACTTGTGCCGGTTTTTTGTTGCATATATGCAGTTTTATTTAAAAACTGGGACCTGTAAATTTGGTGCATCCTGTAAGTTCCACCATCCTAAACATGGGGGCGGATCCTTTAGCCATGTTCCATTGAATATATATGCATACCCATTACGACCGGTTTGGATTATTTCTCTTCTTGTTATCTTTTTTCCCCTCAATTTGTATTTATCTATTTTGAGGATTCTTAAAACTTCCAGACACTAATTTGATGTGCATCCATTAACAGGGTGAGAAAGAATGCCTCTACTATTTGAAAACAGGGCGGTGCAAATTTGGTATTACTTGTAAATTTCATCATCCTCAACCAGCTGGCACATCAATGCCAGCACCTGCACCTCAATTTTATCAGCCAGTGCAGTCTCCTTCAGTCCCTGTACCTGAACAGTATGGGGGGGCATCCACCAGTGTGAGAGTGGCAAGGGCTCCACTATTACCTGGTTCATATGTT